ACCTCCAGTTTCCCACCACACTTTCTTTTTCTGATGTAGAAAAGTTACTGAGAAAATAAGAGCCTGAATTACCAGGTTTGGCGGCATGGTTGACAGTCACTTGACAGACTGGCAAACTGCCACTTATTTTAGCTACAAAAACAGAACAAGATAACATCATACATTCAAGATGTTATTTTTTAAAATCTTGATTAAATGATAAAACAGAATTATGCCAATTAACACACTTCAGTATTCTTTTGATCTTTTATATCATAATTAAACACAATATGTAACTTCAATTTATTTTGTTATATTCTTTAATCTGTTAGATAAATATTTGTGATTCAATAGAGCTTCTTTAGTAGGGAAAAAACTGCTGCTGTGGTCTTGAATGAAGAGGTCAGAAAGAAATCCAAGGAGAAGGGAACAAATATGTATTAAGTACTTCTGTGTGCTTTTCTATATACATTATCTCATGAATAGTCACAATATCTCTGAACTTATAATAGTCTCATTTCATAAAAGATAAAAATAGAAGCCAGAGAGATTAAATAATTTTCCAAGGTCACAAAACTAATAATAATGATTAGTCTAGCTAATATGTGTTGCATTACCGCATCCATCTGCAAAACCCTATAGGCTGGATGCTATTATTCACTTTTAAAATGAGAAAACAAGATAAACAACTTGTCTGAAGACACACAGCTGGCAAGTGGATCTAATAAGGTTAACTCCACATGGTCTGACCCCAGAGCCTGCCTGTTAGTGCTTCCTCCTTCCCTGTGACATTCTGTCTGTCTTAAGAGCCCATTTAATTCATTCCTGACAAATGAAAATGCTTAGAATATGATTCTGCACATTGAACATTGAACATTCTGTTCAATGAATGTTATCATTAGACTGAATCTTTCCTGTGTTTTGCTAAGGAGTTCATAATACAGAAAGGAAAATGCGTTTAGACTGTGTAATAATTTCCTGTCACTTCCTTTTCAGTTGGATGCTCTACTTCAAGTGGTGACAGAATGGAAGTGTCATCATTCATTATTATCTCATTTATTTATCTCACAAATATTCTATGAGCCCTATATTGTGAGGCGACTGATGAAATAAAACCACAAAGAAGTCAACCATGGAATGACTGTTAAGTATGTGCTAGCAAGGAGTAAGTAGCTCACAGGGCCCCAGTAATTACCAGAATGAGTGATATATATTTTTTATTAATTGAAATCCAACTCAAATCTTTTCTTTATTGTATGCTTATCTATATTTTGCTTGGCTTCATGTGGTCCCCACAAGACCTATAGGTGGTAGGTTGCTACGCCTGCCTTCTCAGATGAGGGGGCAATCACTTATGGGGGAAAAAAGGTGCTTGCTCAAGCTCACAGAACCTGTATCTCCTGACCCGAAGTCCATTGGTCTCTCCATGAGCTGACAATTTCCTATCGACAATTCAAAACCTATCGCCAAATCAATCATACACATTCTCCAGACCTGAGCCTGTTTTCTGACCCAGAATCTATTAACTGAAGGAGAGGACATTGCAACAAACACTACGACAAGAGATAATTATACCCTGACTCTGTGCTCAAAGAGAAACACGGCGGTATTTAGGTAATCCTTTACTGGGGTAAGTGTCCTCACTATGTTGCTCTGGTTGGTCATTTCACTTCCCGAGCTTCACCTTCCCTCTCTGTAGAACAGGTTCTCGTGAAGTTTAAATGAGATCAGGTAAAGCACTTAGCGCAGACCTTGGCACACGGTAAGTACTCAGTGAATACTAGCTGCTATGTTCCCTATTATTTATTACTGGGGAAATAGCCTCAAGTCAAAGAGGAATATTGGTAATCAGCAAATTAGGCTCTTTCAGACACTAAGGAAAAACTTTGAAAGCTGGAGTCTTTTTCAAATTCCCTACCGGCAGCTCCTACAAATACTGAGTCTGGTGACATTTAACCTTGAATGCAATTAGTATAGTGCATCACAAAAGCAGCCCCCCACCCCCAAATACGCTCTCAAGCCCAAGCCCTCTACTTCCCTTCTGTAACCAAGATCAGCGTCAATCATCCCCACCACGCAGTTTTCTTCAATCTTAAAAAAAAAAAAAAATTATGTGCTTTACAATCTACTCTTTACTTCTGCTGTGATCGGGGTCCTGGTGACAGATGGTGTCAAAAAGCAGGATGTTTAGAACACATAAAGCTCAACACGGCCCAGCTTAACCGACCGATATGAAAGGGACCACTTCCTAAGTCAGTGAGAAGTGACAGGTGTCAGTCACATTCAAGTCTCCTACTCCCCCGCTCCCTGCTCTCTTTTCCTTTTGTGTGCTTTAGAGACAAGCGCTGAGTGAAAAACCTTCCTGCACCTTGAGAGAAAACATAACGTGCAACGTTAAAACACATTCATCCTTTCCGATATTTTGATTCACTGGTAGACATTTTACTAAAGCACCAATTTTTGGTGAAGCCATTGAAAGAAAATTATTACTAAACATTTTCACTTCTTAGATTAGCTAAATAATGAAGCTAACATTGGTAAAACAATGATTAATTCTTGAAGCTTAGAAAAGTTACAGTAACCAGGTTTCTTACCTACAACAATGCCATAGGAAAAAAACAGAAAGTAGATATTAGGGGCAAAGCCACTCAACATTAGGCCTCCGGCCACCATGAAGCCACTGAAGATCGTCACGGGTCTTGCCCCAAAAGATGAGACACAGAGGCTGCAGATAGGACCTAAAAAATAAATGAAACTTTCACTTATTGCACAATAATCACCTTTCACAATCATATTATCCATCCCATCAACACTAAAATAATAACGAACACCTGTGTATTTACGACGTGCTGGACACTATGTGCTTCATACAGGCAACCTCGTTTCATTTTCATCTTATTGCAACCCTGGGAGGTACATACTATTGTTGTCCTCATTTTTTGATACTGAAATTAAAGTGTGAAGATGGTAAGGTCACATAGTTAAGAAGGGGGTGTTCTGGAGTCAGACTTTCTTCAAATTTGAGCTCTACTACTAGCTGGTTCTTTGATCTCAGACAACTTATTTGATGTCTTTGTGCTTCAGTTTTTTCATCTGAAAACTGGATTAATAATAACAGCCCCCTCCTAATGTTACCGTGAGGACAAATTAGAGCACAGATGTAAAGCTGATCACAAGGCCCAGCACAAGCAAGTGCCCCATCAGTGCTCATTCTCCAGCCATCGATGCCATTAACGGGGTAAAAACACCGTTAATCTGACCCCCGAGCCCACGGTCTTAGCCTTCGTATTCTAAGGACTTTTGTCTCCTGCATGTCCCATGCACCTTTCTCACCCAGAGCTCCTCTCCAGCACAAGGCCTGTCATATAACTGGTGATGAAAACAGAGGTGCTGATTGACTGAATACAAACAACAGTGACCCTGTAGAGCAGGAGTGGGGAACTGCAGTCCGCGTGCCACATCGCTTGGTCTGGCCCTGCCAAGGCAACCGCAGGAAGGACTCGAAATTCAATAAATCTAGGAGCTAATTTTTAAGTTGATAATTTTGTATGGCCCTCGAATGATGTTATAAATATCCAAATGGCCCTTGGCAGAAAAAAGGTTCCCCACCCCTGCTGTAGAGGGAAGAAGTGGGGGTGAATTAGTTATTCTCTCCCTAGAGAATATTCTGGCAGGTGGGGCCAAATGGAAAAGCACCCTACCCGTCCAGGTATAGGCCTGTCTGTCCCGCTGTCCCACATTCCTCGTGTAACCTGGAATGTAGGGAAAGAAGCACACTGTTGACAGGTAAAAGTGGCCATTACCTGGTCCTGTTCTATATATAGGTGGGCAACTTCTCATATAACAGCATTTAAGTGCTAGTGAAATTCTGTCTCATTAGCACTGTACCTGGAAAGTACCTACAAGTACAGAGCTTAGCATATTAGAAATAAAAGGATATTAAGGGTTATTCAACCCAATAGTCTCATCTACATGGAGGGATGTAAATGTGCTCATTTCATGGGTGTGTTCAGTCTATAAATTTTGGCTGGGCTATACTCTCATGACATACACACTTTTCTATATATATCTTTTACTTTAATGAAAAAATGTCAAATGGGGAAATGATGATGCAATCTACCCATAGGTTCATCGTTAGTAAGTGGTAGAGCCAGAATCCCCAAGCCTGGCATTCTCACCAATTACAGTAGTCACCCTTATCCATGGATTCCCTTTCCATAGTTTCAGTTACCCTAAGTCAACCGCAGTCTGCAAACATTAAATGAAAAATTCCAGAAATAACAATTCAGAGTTTACAAATTTAATTCATAAGTTTTAAATTGCATGCCATTCTGAGCAACATAATCACATCTCTTGCCATCCCGCTTTTTCCCGCCTGGAGCTGAATCACCCTTTGTCCAGTGCATCCACGCTGTATAAACGCTATCCGTCTATTAGTCACTTAGCCTCTTGGTTATCAGACCGACTGTCTCAGTATCGCAGTACTTGTATTCAAGTAACCCTCATTTTCTTAATGGCCCCAAAGCCATTCATATAACTTTTAATACAGAATATTGTTATAATTGCTCTATTTTATTAGTTATTGTTACATTTTACTGTGCTTAATTTAGAAATTAAACCTTATCATAGGTATGGATGTATAGAAAAAAACATGGTATCTATAGGGTTCAATACTGTCCATGGTTTCAGGCATCCAGTGGGAGTTTGCAACATATCCACCATGGGTAAGGGGGAACTACTGTACCAAAAAATCGCTTAAGTGTGTATTTAATTTAAGACCAGGTTATGAGCACTGAGATAGCACATAGTTCTCAATACCTGTGACTCTCTCACATTCCTCTCTGGTCATAAACTGAAATGGCAGGCACCATGGCAGGTTCTCTCTAGTGTGAGCCAGTACAGAAGAATACACTGATATATTTATATGACAAACAGAGGGGAGCATTCTGTGCCAGTGTTTTAAAAGGAAAATCCATTTGAAATACCAAACTTTTCCAATAGTTGAGTTGTCCATATACCCAATGAGAAATACTTGGATACTTTAAAGATAGAAACAATTTTAAGGTTCAAATCTCATAAATGGTTGACACCATAAAGGCATGACCTTTCTCTGTTGTTTAACAAATTGTGTTGACATTGAGAATTAGTGTTTACATATTTAATAAGCACAGTGGAATTGAAATACAGAGATTATTACTGGCATACTTGAAAAGTTTCCAGTTTCATCCTCAAAGCAGGACTTCAAATCTACATTCCTTGATGCATCTTATTAACTCCATAAGGAAATTCAGAGTTTGGAAAGCTCAGAGTGGGGATGAAGGGTATAATTTTCATAGCATGTACAACCAAACCCACTGTTTTATAAAATACATAATTTATTATCAATTATGTTATAAGTTCTTAAATTATTTTTGCCTAATACATGAACTTTAAAAAAATTAAGCTTAAGGAGAAAATGAGTAGAAATTATTTGACAGATGAAAACAGCAAATTGAAAACTGTTTTTAAAAAAATTCTAGCCCTAGTCAGTTTTGCTCAGTGGTTAGAGCACTGGTCCATGGACTGAAGGGTCCCAGGTTCAATTTCAGCCAAGGGCACATTCCTCAGGTACTGGGGTGCATGTGGGAGGCAACCAATTGATGTGTCTCTCTCCCTCATTGATATTTCTCTCTCTCTACCCCTTCCACTCTCTTTGAAAGCAATGGTAAAAATATCCTTGGGTGAAAATTAAAAAAAAAAAAAAAAAAAAATTTTACTTTCACACTGCCACCTGCTGCTTACTTAGAGAAAAGCGGACATCATTTAAAAATTTTTGTTTCTATTTAAGTGTAGTTGGTATACAATCTTATATTGGTTATATTAGTTTCAGGTATACAATACAGTGATTCAACATTTTTAAACCTTAAAATATGGTCATCTTACTAATTCTAGTAATCATCTATCACCATGTGAACTTATTACAATATAGTTGACTGCATTCCCCTTCTCCTTTTTACCCATCCTCCCACCACCCCCTTCTGGTAACCATCCCTTTGGTATCTGTTTTTATGAGTCTCTGTTTGTTTGTTTTGTTTTTAGATTCCCAATATAAGTGAAACCATATGGTATTTGTCTTTCTCTGTCTGACTTATTTCACTTAGCACAATACCCTCTAGGTCCATCCATGTTGTTGCAAATGGTAAGATTTCATTCTTTTTCATTGCTGCATTATATATAGCTCACATCTTCTTTATCCATTCTGTCAGTGAACACCTGGGTTGCTTCCACATGTTGGCTATTGTAAACAATGCTGCAATGAATATAGAGGCGCATATATCTTTTCAAATGACTGTTCTCATTTTCTTTGGATAAATACTCCCAAATAGGTCATATATCTATTTTTAGTTTTTGAGGCATCCACATGCTGTTTTTTGCAGGGGCTGCACCATTTTTCAGTCCCACCAACAGTGCACAAGGGTTCTGTTTTCTCTACATCCTCACCAACTATTCATTGATTTTTTTATAATAGCCATTCTGACTGGTATGAGGTGGTATTTCACTGTGGTTTTGATTAGCATGCTCCTGATGATTAGTAATGTTGAGCATCTTTTCATATGTCTTTCAGCCATCTGTATGTCTTCTTTAGAGAAATGTCTTTTCGTGTCCTCTGCCCATTTTTTCACAGACTTTGTTGTTGTTATTGAGTTGTATGAGTTTCTTATATATTTTGGATATCAACCCCTTATCAGATGTATTTCATTTGTGAATGTATTCTCCCAGTTAGTAAGGTTGCCTTTTTGTTTTGTTGAAGGTTTCCTTTGCTATGTATAAGCTTTTTAGTTTGATGCAGTCTCATTTGTTTATTTTTTTCTTTTGTTTCCCTTGCTCAAGGGGACATGTCCAAAAAGATATTACTTAGACTGATGTTAGATAGTTTATTTCCTATTTTCTTCTAGGAGTTTTATGGTTTCAAGCCTTATATTTAACTCTTTAACCCATTTTGAGTTGTTGTTTTTTATATGGTGTAAGAGAGTGGTCTTGTTTTCTTTTTTGCATGTACCTGTCCAGGTTTCCCAACACCACTTGTTAAAGAGTGTATATTTTTACCTCCTTTGTCATAGATTAGTTGACCATATAAGCAAGGGTTTATTTCTGGGCTCTCTGTTCTGTTCCATTGATCTATGTGCCTGTTTTTGTGTCAGTACCATACTGTTTTGATTATTATAACTTTGTAGTATAGTTTGAGATCAGGGACCATGATACCTCCAACTTTGTTCTTCTTTCTCAAGATTACTTTGGCTATTAGGGGTGTTTTGGGTTTTCAGAAAAGAAAGATCATGATGGGCCAAGGAAGTGAGCCTTGAACTGGGCCATGAAGTTTGGTCTGTCAACAAAAGGGGTGAAAATACATTCTAACAGAGGGAACAGAACCCTAATGTGGTTTTCCAATCTATAATAATTATTAAATAGCTTTGGGAAAGAAATTATTCCCTTTGGGAAATAAATTAACTTTCATGCCCTTCTCTCTTCCAGAAAGTTTCAGAGTCCCAAAAGTGGAAGGACTGCCAAACCTGCTGCACTGAAGCCATAAGTACATATAGTGAGAAATAAAAAACAGCAGTAACCAGGATGTGTGACTGCAGCAGGGCAAGGATTTCCTAACAGAGTAGACTGGGCCCACAAGGGTCCCATGCCCTCCACCTATAATGCAGAAAGCTCAACAAAAGAGCAAGTTCCTCACTCCTTCCTCCTGCTGAGA